GGGGGGGGGGGGGGGGGGGGGGGGGGGGTAAGAGGTCAACCAAAGGACTTGTATGCATGCATATGAGCATAACCAATGGACATAGATATTAAGGGGGTGAGGACATGTGCTGCATGGTGGGAGTGGCCAGGGAGAGGTCTAAAGGGGGAAAAGGAGACATATGTAATACTATAAACCAGGGGTCCTCAAACTTTTTAAACAGGGGGCCAGTTCACTGTCCCTCAGACTGTTGGAGGGCCAGACTATAGTTTTAAAAAAAACTATGAACAAATTCCTATGAAAACTGCACATATCTTATTTTGAAGTAAAAAAACAAAACGGGAACAAATACAATATTTGTATTTGCATGTGGCCCATGGGCCATAGTTTGAGGACCCCTGCTATAAACAATAAATAATAATAATAATAAAAGAACAGGCATATAGAGCAATGGAACAGAACAGAGAGCCCAGAAATAAACCCACACCTTTATGGTCAACTAATATTTGACGAATAAGGTAAAAACATACAATGAGGTAATAATAGTCTCTTTCATATATGGTGTTGGGAAAATTGGACAGATACATTCAAAATAATGAAACTAGACCACCATCTTATACCACACACAAGAATAAATCCAAATGCATTAGAAACTTAAATGTAAACGTTGAGATCATAAAAATCCTAGAAGAAACATAGGTAGTTAAATCTCAGATATTTCTCGAAGCAGTATTTTTGCAGGTATATCTTCTAGGGCAAGGGAAACAAATAAAAAATAAACTATATCAAACTAAAAAGTTTTTTCACAGCAAAAAAATTCCATCAACAATCGTGTGGTGATTGCCATGGGGAGGTGAGATGGAAGGAGGTGGAGAAGAATATAGTGAGTATAAACATTGATGGACAGAGACTTGACTTGGGATGGTGAACACACAAAACAGTGCACAGATGAAGTGTCATAGAATTGTGCTCCTGAAATCTGTATAATTTTGTTAACCAGTGTCACCACAATAAATTCAATTTAAAGGAAAAGAATGAAAAGATAATTTGAAAATCAAGAGTGATGGGCTAGGGAAGAGAGCTGCCAGCTAATGAATATCTAACTTCTCAACCCATAATGCTATTTAATAATACTCCATCCCATTTAGAAATAAAATATATTGTAATTATTTATTTTAAAAGTGAAAAGATAACCCACTGAATGGGAGAACATATTCACCAATGATACATCTGATAAGTGGTTAATATCCAAGATATATAAGAACTTATAAAACTCAATACAGATAAAACACACAAACAATTTTGTTAAAAGATGGGCAAAGATCCAAACGACACTTTTCTCCCAAGAGAACATAGAGATGGCTAATAGACATGAAAATGTGCTAAAGGTAACTAGTTATCACAGAGATACTAATTAAAACCACAATGAGATATCACCTCATGCTATTCAGAATGTCTATCATAAATAAATCAACAAACAGCAAGTGCTGGCAAGGATGTAGAGAAAATGAAACCATGCATGGTTGGTAGAAATGCAGACTGGTGCAACCACTGTAAAAAACAATATGGAGTTTCCTCAAAAAATTAAAAATGGAACTGCCTTTTAAGCCAGAATTTCCACTGGATAAATATCTGAAGAGACCTGAGACCCTTATTCGAAAAAATGTTTGTACTCCCAGTTCATTGAAGTTTTATTTGCAACAGCTCTGGAAACAGCCTAAGTATCCCTCAGTACATGAGTGAATAACAAAGCTGTGGTACATTTACCACAATGGAATACTACTGGGCCATAAAACAGAAGGAACTCTTATTCTTTCTGACAGCATGGATGGACCTGGAGAATATTCTGCTAAGTAAAATAAGCCAGTCAGAGAATGACAAATGCCATATGATTTCATTTATATGTGGAAGCTAATGAACTAACAAACAAAATATAAATAGAAACATGAACTAACAAAATATAAATAGAAACAGATACGTAGAACAGACTGTCAGCTGTCAGAGAAGAGGAGTTTGGCTAGGATTAAACAAAATTTATTATACATATACATATATAAAAAATAAAACACATAGACTCATTCAACAGTATGTGATAGCCAAAGGGAAAGGGAGTAGGAGGAGGGAAAAGAGGGAAAAGGGGGACTAGAAGTGGTAAATTAGAAAGAGACTTTACTTTGGATGATGGGTATGCAGATGATGTTTTGCTGAGTTTACACTTGAAACCTGTATGGTTTTATCCAATGTTACATAAATATATTATAATATAT